CCATTACTTCTTTTTGCTTCTTGAAAGTCGCCTGTGATGTAAAAGGTTCATCAGAAACGCTTTCTGATCTGATTGGTTGCATGGGTTTTCTATCGTATTACTATCAATATGGCGTTTTTGATTGGTGGTACTACTGTTGTTTTACAACTGATCTCACTGGTACTCGCGCTATTCTGTTTCTATAACAGGTAAAAGAAGAACAAAAATGGGAATAGCAATCGCAAATAGCGAAGAAATAATGAGTGACTTCCAGAGTCAGACAGAATCTTTCGCCTAAAATTGCCTCAAACTGGGCTTGAGTAGTACAACTTTAATATGACATTCATATATATGTGAGAAAAAGGCAAAAATGGGATTGCTTGCAAATCTACTGGTGGCAAAATTGTTTCATTTAAATTCTTTGTTGACAGGTGAACATCTTTGTAATTTGTGATTTGTTGGTGGAGGGATCTCAGTCAGTGATGAGGGCAAACAAATTTTCAGAAACTAATGAGTCGAAGGATAAAATTTTTTGTTTTTTTTTCATTTTGTTACCCGTAGATTTCAAAGCACAATAGCTCGTCTTAAGCTCCTTTTGTCGTTTCAGCTCGTGAGTTTATTTATATTTTTTAGGATTTTTGCCTGAAACCTACTACAATTATTGTATGTGATGGCTCGGACTAAACAAACTGCTCGCAAATCTACTGGAGGTATAATTGTCTTGAATGCGTTTTTAGCAAATAATGTCTTTGCGACTTGTAATTTTCTAATTGAAGGATTTCTTTCAACAATGACAGTAGCAGATTTTTAAAAATTGGTGATTAGAATAGTTATGTTTGCTTATAATCTGGATTATTTTGGATTGATTCAAAAGATAATTTTTGATAGGCAAAGCACCACGTAAACAGCTTGCAACAAAGGCAGCGCGAAAGTCTGCTCCGTCTACTGGAGGAGTGAAAAAACCGCATCGCTATCGTCCAGGAACTGTGGCTCTTCGTGAAATTCGCCGTTATCAAAAATCTACTGAATTGCTGATTCGAAAGTTGCCTTTCCAACGTCTAGTGCGTGAGATCGCACAGGATTTTAAAACGGATTTGCGCTTTCAATCAGCAGCTATTGGCGCACTGCAGGTCATATATATTCATTCAAGTAGCTTTTGAAAGTTGGGTGAACTGTATTTGGCGTGTCTTTCCAATATCTTACACAGTGGTTAAATGCAAGTAATGAGTATTGAAAATGGATGGAATGAGTAAAATATTGTTAAAGAGTAACGACTGGGCATCAAATACCTTCGCATCCTTCAAAGCTTTTCTCACAGTTTTGCTAGTTTTGATCATTGCCTTGCTAAAATTTTCATATGTCTCCTTTCTTTTTATCGAGAATGTTCAGAAATCACTGGCAAAATAATATGTGGTGATTGTATGCATACTTATTAACCTTATTTCAGGAATTAGATTTGCTAAATCATTTGTAAAAAAACGTTTTTCCAGGAGGCTAGCGAGGCATATTTGGTTGGTCTTTTCGAAGACACCAATCTCTGTGCGATTCATGCTAAACGCGTTACCATAATGCCGAAAGATATCCAGCTTGCTCGTCGTATCCGTGGTGAACGTGCTTAAGAGAAAACGGAAGATCAAGTAATTTATCTGCAGTTTCAAATTTTAACTGGAACTGAATGCTGCCTTTAAAACTTGCTTATTAAAAAATCATAAGTTTTTCTTTCCAGTGAAAATAATGTATATCTGTGGTAGTTCCCCAGTGGTGCTCTGTTTTGATTCAGTTATGATTTGTACTTGTATGAAAAAGCTAATTCGTATATGAGATCAAATTTTTTCATGATTTTATTTCATCTTGCGATCTCATCATTGATATGGCTGATTCTTGAAAAAGTGGTGTGTCATGTTTTGTTTGAGGAGGTTTGAGAAAAGGTGTTGAATATTTTATTTGGGTCTCATGAAAAACTGTTTCCAAACGTAAACAGCTTTGTCTTAGTCCATGAATCTGCTATGTTCGGGAAGTTTTTAATTTCATTACTATGTTCGTAATTCGATAAAAGATGTAAGTATAACTATTTTAACACTCAGGTGATCCCATCTTTTCTATCAAAATAAATCTTTATTTTGACTTTTTTGTTAACGTAAATTTTGCTAGAAACGATGATTGGCTGCTCCACTACCAGTTATCATATGAGCCATACGAAGTATTCTGCAGAAAAATAGTAAGGTGAATCTTATGTGAGCAACGAATATTGCAGTATTTGTTTTAAAAATTGATTAGATTTAATGTTTTTGAGAGTGGTGCGTGTTCAGTGATAGGTTAGGTTTTTGCCAGATGAAAGGGCTTAGGACTTGGAGCAGTCTAGGAAATTTTCAACTTGCTAGATTGTTAATGTCCACATGCGTATCATCTACCTTCAGGCAGTGTCGTGTACTAGCTTTTAATTGCGAGGGTAGGTTTGTCATTGTGACTTAATCACCTCCCTGAGTCATAAAAAAGTTGTCTTGATGAAATATAAATCGCAGGAACTAAAGTAGTAAATGTTTCAATTGATTGCATAAGTCTCAATATATTTAAGAAGCTTCAAATGAGCAAGGCTTCGGGGAACTTATTGCATGAAATATTGAACAAGGCTCAGAATTTAAATTGGATCTGAGTTAAAAAGTAAAAATCCTTCTAATAACTGTGACATATTTTTAAGACACCAGTTTGATCGGTAAAACCAAACACAAGAAGAACTTGGAACCTTAGCTAAGTGCATGTTCAACTTGTTTTCTAGCAATAATTTATTGGCATTTTTTTTCGGAGAAAGTCACTGAAAAAGATCTCAAGCACTTGAAAGAAAGTCATATTTGAGCCAACGAAGTTTATGATTGAAAAAAGTAACTGCGTCCGTTGGTGAAAATAAGTAGTTACCATCATAGGAATTTGCGCTGACTTGAATTATTCAAGTTGGAATGCATTGAGATTCCGAGTTTAAAATACAAAACTCTTAATCACTGAAAGAAACATTTCTACTGTTAGAGAAGTTTCGAGATGCGAAAGGATTTATTGGAAATATCTATTTAAAGATACCATTATCTTGAATCTAGACTGTTATTAATTACTGATATCTAAAATTGAACTTCTGGCTTATATAAGTGCTTTTTTATGTAGTTGGAATCGCACTATCAACTGCTTTTATCTTACAATGTAATAAGAAAAAATCTTGATTTGAATACCTTTGACTTATGATTATTCATAGTTTCACTTGCTAGATCGAAAAGAATAGGAAAGATAACATCTTACAATTTTTTTTCGTAATACATTCTAGAATAATGTTATATTGCCATTTGCATTACTCAGCCACCGCAAATCGCTTGGCGTCATGGGACATAATAACAGTGCCCAGACATTTCAACATCAAAATAAATGATCAGAATCAGAATATTGAATTATTCTAGATATTTCCAAATGAGTATAATCAGAAAATGATCAATGTTATTAGAACGTCTCGGATTCTTCATTATAATTGCTTTGATTCACTTCAAGTGCGCAAATCAAAATCGTAAGCATACGGAATGATGGTCCTGCTCTGCATCATTTGCTTGAGTAGTTATTGTCTCAATACTATTTGTGCCATGAATTGAACTTCAAACCAAAATTTCTTCTTTTATTGAAGAATTATTACTTCTAAATAGCAATGATACGATTCAACAAAGTACTTGCACGCTGGATCGCTATGGAATTTAACTGTCCTTCTAATCGATTGCTTCAAATGATATGATGAGTTAATTTTAAGGATCGAAAAATCTTCGTTACAGAACTTTCTTTCATTCATACTTCTCGTAAACAATTAAATTAGTTCTGAAAAGATGAAACGCACACATTGCTATAACCATTTATTACCATTATAATGACAAAGTTGTCATTGCTGGAATGGTTCTCATCAACTCAGCTCTGTCTTTTCAGAAGACACGTTTACGTTTATACCAGTAACATTCTGTAAGGAAATTGATTTTATTTCTTATTCTTAAATGCCTCCTTGAATTTTATGTACAGCAGCGACAATTGCATTTACCCTTGGCAGTGTGCTATTTAATGTGATAATATTTCTACAATATCAGGACTGAAATAATTTTTAATTAAAACTAGCATATGAAACTCAATTTCTAAATCAATTTCGAAAACTATCAGTGTTATATTACACATAATGAAAAAAGGGATATCTCAAAAAATGAGTACGGCTTAAATTTGAGAGCCAACAATTAAATTATTCTGAAATGATCTTTTGAGATATATATAGATGAAGTATACTTTTAACTACATGAGTTTCATTTATGTTGCGTAATTTTTTACTTACAACTCCTGTATCTTTAAGTTTTATGTTAGCAGTTGAAGAATGTCAGATATTAGTCACTTATGTTAATTTAAAAAAAAGTACTGATCTTAGTATTTATCAAATTTTTGAAATTTGTCCAGTTCTCAATTTTTAATTTTTTATAAAAATTTTAAAAATTCACGAAATCAGAGCTAACTTAATGTATTCAGAATTCATTTTGTTTCAAGTATTTTTAGTGGCGGAGATTTCCACAATTTTGACTAAATATTTCATGTTTGACATTGTCTGTCATGTGTGACTACTTTCAAAAATAGTGACTGAAATTGAAAGGAAGCATTTTTTTGTCGGATTAGTGCATAGTTGTGAATAAAGCTTGCATAAATTGTAGTTAGCAAAAACAGAAAAGCTTTGAGAAAAACTAGGAGTAAAAGTATAGTCTTTGGTAAAGTTGGTATTCGCTGGAACCTCTGCCCCTCTACCAAATTTAAACCACTTATGATTAACGTCTGTCTGACCGTGAACTATTACAGTTTGCAGAATGTGAAGCAAATGAATAGCAGTTGGAATTCTTCTTTTTATATGTTTGAGATCAAGAAGTAGAGGAGCAGAAGTGCTAAAAAACAAATTAGAAACATACTAAACTCCTTAAACTGAGTGTGTGAATGAATATATGTGTAACTATTATTCGATACTTCTTATAAAATTTTCCTGTATTGTGCGAAAAAATTAGTCGATCTGAGTTTTTTTCCCTTTTTTAAGATCTGATCACTAATATATTATGGAAATTTATGAGCGAAAATTATAACGCAGAAAAGGGGTAATGATAAGCGGTTGGTAATTGGTGATTTCTTGATTTTAGCAATCAGTTCTTAATTTTAGAAAACGTTGGGGTATGGGATTGATACTAGAGGTCGTAGTTTTCGAATTCTAGAAGAGCTTTGCAGACAAATTTGCATATTGTTTGTTTTTCCTGAGCAAAAGTTTTCGAAATGTGATCAAAAGGGTCTATTGTGTTTGAAATGTTTTTGAGTCCACGAACATTTATTTCAATGGTTGCAATTATTTATGAAACGATCAGATTATTCCCAAGCAAATTTGCTACGAAATCGTTTCTCAATTGGTGTTTGGGATGAGTTTTTCATTGCATTTTTATTGCAACAAATGTGGCTGTATAGCAGCGCAACTTGAAATGAGTTTCTAATGATAATACTTGCTAAAATTGTCTAGTGTACGAGAAGTGAGGTGCGTAGTCAGTCTGTGTGATGAGAGGCATTGGTTGTAGATGGGTTAGTTTCGTTATTGATTAAATTCAGTATAATTCGAGTAATGATTATTGTTTCTGCTTGACTGTTTTAAATAAATTATCAGACTCAGAGCTGAAAGAATCATTTGTTAATTAGCAACATTTTTAATGACAAATTTAAAAAAATTGTAATTCAATCTTTGTGGGATGTGGTGTTGCATTTCTGTTCATACTGCTTGATATATTATTTCTTGATTTAAAGTTTAGTTGGTACTTTTTCATGGTAGTAAATAAGCATTTATTTAAGTTCTGACTTTTTCAGCTCAATAATGTGGCTAGTTATTGTTTGCACCAGACTTTATTGGACTAGTTAAACTTGCTGTAATCTATGCATCCTACTGCTGAAAATCTTTGGAGATTGCAATGGCTCGTAAAGCAAAGTGTTTGGAAGAGTGTGCCTTATAATTTTCTTAGTAGCATACTTTTAACGGGTAGTTTGATTGGAGCTATCATCTATATCTTTAGAACTACTAATCGTTCAGTTCGCCAACCATGTCCATCTCTCACAAGTAAGTTTTGTCTTTATAAAATGATATATTTATGTTTTTAAATGGATGCATTGTGTCTATTATAATCCGAATTAATATTGAACATAAGTTACTTTTTTCTGTCTTATTTTAATTTTGAAATCGTTTCTGAATCTATTTCAGATAGCGGTGATGTTCCCGCGATGCTCAATCTAGGCAACACATGTTATGTCAACTCATTATTGCAAGCGTTGGCTAGGTTAGCCCAGCTTTAAATCCTGATAACATAGTATCAAAAAAAATATATGAAATGACTTAGTAATTTTAAATTTTATATCTTAAAAGATATATGAAATATATCTTTTTTTAGATCGCATCCTTATATATTTCTTGCAGGTGCTGTTTAAAGTCGGTTTTAAAAAATTGATTGCAAGTGAGGTTTGTAAAAATATACGTCCAACTGGAGTTTTAAACTTAAGTCTTGTAGTTCAGTGATTTGTATAAACTAAGTCAGACAAGCCACTTTGTTTCTTTTCAAGCTTATTTTAAAGCAACGTTGAATTTTAATTGATTGCAGCTCAAGAAGTTTTTCAAGGTGGATTCAGGCTATTGATCTTAAACTTGTTCCTGATGGCCAACATTTGGTGTTTCTTGATTCATTGAAACGAATTATTCATGGTTTATTTTGTCATATTTTCTGACTGCACTACTTTTAAGCATGGAAGATCTTAGGTACTTCATGTTCTGTTTCAATCAAAATTAAAATGGGGTTACAACTTGAATATTATTAAAATTGCTTTAGTAGTAGCTTGTAATCTTCAGTTTACAACCTTAAAATTTGATTGACTCTTCAATTGCAGACTTGAATGATGTGACGATAAAAACATGTTCAGCCTCAAATTTAATTGATGCTTTGTTAGCACACAGATGGTCAATACCACCGAATACAGAACAAGTTCATAATATTTTTATAGTTTCCGTTAATACATTTGTCTTAATCCAATTATCAGGATTTTTATGAAGATTAATTCTGTATCCATCATATTATTGAGATGGAAAGGAATCTTGTCTTGCAGGATTTATTTGAATTATTTAATGTTTTCGTCACAACATGGGATGAAGAATTAGCTGTATTGCGTCATGGTGAATCATCGCCCCACAAGATCGTCGAAATAGTAAGTTTGTTTCCTGATTATAATTCTAATTCCAGTCTTAAACATGACCTCCTACCTACTATATGCATTGTCCATTACCAATAATTGTAATACTTGTAAACATCAGTCAATTGACGGCAAATTGAAAAGTAATTTAGCGCAGTAGAGGTACAGAGAAAATAAGCTTGTACTTTGATAACCAAAAACAATTGTAGAAGACAGTCATGGATTCTTTAATTAATAAAACCACAATGACTCGAGATACTGGCAGTTACATGTTTATAGAAAGTAGTAATCAAGATGTTTCTGATAAAGTGCTTAATGATTTTATTGAAATAAAAACGCAGTCGTTCTCGTCTTCATTGGTATTTGACCATGTGAGAGTTTGTTTGAATACTATTTTATTTAATGCACTAAAAATTAAATTTTGTATGTTGCATTAAAAGGGTCGGTTGTCTGAAATGATTTAAGAGACATAGGATCAATTTATTTGCCTATAAATTAGAAAAATCAAGATTCCTTGGTGACTGTTATCAGATTTTTCAATTAAAATGATTTTAATTTGATTTTACTTTTTGAAATTTAGATTCAGAATGTTGCGGCGAATGAAAACTTGTTAAAACCACCTTGTTTGGGACTATTGGCGGTCCAATTAAGTTGTTGCAGAGAAGATTGCGATTATACTGTAAGTTATAATGCTTTTCATTTCAAGACTTGTTTTCATTTATCATATTGTTGTAAGCGGTTGTGTGCTCTAATTTATTTTTTAGAAAATTCGTGAAGAGAAGTTTTGTGTACTGTCACTTTCTTTTCCAAAATCGTCTAGTTCTGTAAGTTTTCAGCTCATATCTCGCAAACAAATAAGAAATCTTTAATGACAATTAATGGGGAAAATAATGTAAAATGTTTTTTCTTTCACAATAGATCATAAAAATTGAATTTTAAAGGTTACAAAATAACGTACAATTTATAAACTTTAACTCTGCTGCAATTTTTACTTTTTTGCAATTTAAGCTGACTTTTTACTGTTGAAAATCTTAAATTACGCAAGTTGTTTGTATTGTTTATAGAATAATTACAGTACTCAGAAAAGGACACTTTTTTGTGGAACTGTACTCTTAAATAATGAGGAACGTTTTTTTTTAGTTATTGTCATTTTCGAGGTTGTTACAAGGGTATTTTACTCCTGAATACATTCAAGGTGCTTCATGTGACCGATGTTTGCAGCAGCAAAAAGATCCGTGTAGTGGACTAATAAAAAAGCAAGGGTTTTGCGAGGTAATTCATTCATGTTGAATTCTTAATAATAGTTCATGCCATCTGTCACGGAAAGCACTTGTTGACCAACTTTTTTCATGTTTTTCATAAGTTATATATATATATATTTTTTATTTTTATGAAGCAGTTTAACATTAAAATTTCATCGTATCTTTTAACAAATGGTCATTATCATACAATTTATATATTTTTTAGTTACCACCATTGTTAATAATTCGTATAGAGCGAGTAGGATTCTCTCCTAATAGATGCGTTTTCAAGCGAACGGAACGCTTTTTGTTTCCAGAGTTAATCGATGTTCGAGAATACTGTTTCTTTGACAATGAGGTTAGATTTTCGATTTGTAAACTAATTTTCGCTCTAATTTTCTTATATTAACTGTTTATATCAGTCATATTTTTGTGTTATCTTGAGTTTTCTTCATGTTTATGATAAATCGAGTTTTTTGTTACTTTTTATAAAATTTACTGTACTTGGCATATAACAAACTTCCAGTCTTGATTAACTTGCTTTAATTCTAGAAAAGATCGAAGGAAATGAAAAATTCATCATCAGATCCATCTGTGCGAATTGTTAGGGATTCATCTTCTAATGCCAGTCTATCTCTTTTACCAAAACTTAAGACAACTCGGCAACATACTACAAGAGAATCTGTAGTATGGTAAGCATTTGCTCCTGATTTGCTTCCAGTTTGTGTATTTTTTATTGATCATGTCAGTTTTCAGTAATGGAACAAATCATGTTGGCAACCAATTCAAATATAAATATCTTCTGCGTGCTGTATCTGTACATATTGGAGGGGCCCATTCCGGTCATTTTATCACATATCGTCGAGGAATTAGTGTTCACAGTCGAAGTAATTGGTATCGAACAAGTGATACACAGGTGAACATTTTTTGGCTAGTAGTTTCTCTTGTTGAAAGCAAAAACTAGTATCGCATTTCAACTGAAAAATTATTTCATGTTTTATGGTTGTTTATGTCATTATCAAAAAGAAGTGTTGTAATTTTCAGGTGACACCAGTGTCATTTGCAGAAGTGGCGTCCTCAGAAGCCTATATGCTTTTTTATGATAAAACATTAACTAAATTGATAAATTAATTTGAGCGTTGAGATTTGATATTTTTCAGCACATTTACGGTTTTATGAACCATGCAGTTTTCTGAATTATATATATCACTTTAATACTCATAAAAATGTGATGTTATTAATAATTTGTTCATATTTCAGAACAAAAAAGGAATAATTCCAAAAATACTTTCGCCATTACGCATTTGGATTTTTAAATACTTATTGGCATGTAAATTTGTTATATCTATGATTGTTTTACTTGATTTTTAATTTCTAGAATTGTTTCACTGTCGAAGCTATTTGTTTGATAAAAAATTTTCGCCCTATTCTCAGTTTTTTGAAAATGAGTAAACTGAAAATTATACTCATCCATATTTTTTATTACATATTTTTCAATTTTTTTCAATTTTAAATTGCTTTGTTTGTTGTTGGTTATTGTGAATATGTATTTCATGTTTGTCTTCCATGTTCGATTGTGCTTATATGTTTCATCGAAAACGCAGATTTTATTTAGTTAGCTATGAGCATCTATCTTGAAGCTATTTTGTGTTCTATAATTCATAGTTTTCTATTTTGAAATGAATCACAGTTGAAATTCATTTACTGCTTTCTCTTTTGGTCATAATTATTTGCATTGACATCTACTATTACTAGATGGGTCTGAAGACTGAACTTGGAATCGAGAAATAAGTTCTTATTCCAGATTATGATTTGTGAGCAGATCCGAAGCAACTGTGCATTTATAAAATCAAATGATATCTTCAGCAATCTAATTGACGTTTTGCTAATATTATCTTTGCGCACTTTCAAATATGCAGCTTCCCATGTTTTAAATTATACAGGATTAGGGCAAGAATGGTAACGAAGAATATTCTCCCAGAATATTTCGATGTTGTGATTTTGGGCACTGGACTTCCGGAATGTATTATTGCTGCTGCGTGTGCTCGTTCTGGCCTCAGTGTCTTGCATCTAGATCGGTAGGTGCTAGCTATAAGTCAAGGGATCAGTCTTTTCTAGAATAAGAACTGTAGTGTCTTCGTACAATATTTCACTTCAAATTTTATTTCAGGAATGATTATTACGGTGGTTTATGGGCATCCTTCAATCTGCAGCAAATTCATCATTGGTTAGAAAATGAAAGTAAGGAAGGTGGTGAAATTTATGACAGCTCATCTTTTCTGCAAGATGGTGAAAAGTTCGTCGCTGCCAGTTGTCGATCTTTCGTTGAGAAAATTAGATATGATTTTGATAATTGGTAAATTCATTCATTAAAAAAACTTTTGAAGTTGGAAAGGATTTCTCTGTCTGCATTCATTCCTGCATAAGATGCTAGTGCTCGGTTGGTATTAACTGAAAATTACTAAGACATTAAGTACTCACAAATACACAAATATTTGTTGCTTTGATATTATTTGTATATTTATTCTCTCTCATGTTATAGGAAAGCTGATGAACTGGACTTGCGTTTGCAAAATATTGATTTTCAGTGGCGAAAATTCAGTCTGGATCTCTTGCCGAAGGTTTTTGTTGGTTACAGTTTTTATGCAAAGAATTCTTGAAAGCTTCCGAAGAATAGGATGTGCATAAAGTGTAAAATCAGATATCAGATTAATTTATGGTTGTCAAAATTGTAATCAGTCGTTATTTATGTTGTGTCAGTTTCTCGCATAGTTTATAATGAATGTGATAGTATTATTCAGTTCCGCGAATTGTGGCCTACTCTATTATTCGTGATTTGACCTCAGTTTCATTTTCTAAAACGTTCCTGTTAACGAATCAATTTAATTCTAATTCTGTTTCAGATACTGTTAAGTAGAGGAAATATGGTTAAACTATTGTGTGACTCAAGCGTAGCCAGGTATTGTGAATTCAAGTCTGTCGATCGATTTTTGTGTTTTTCATCACAAGAAGATTTGAGTCCACTTTTAGTGGTCCCATGTTCACGTGGAGAAATATTCAGGAGCGATATCCTCTCGTTTGTTTTTTTGAATGTTTTGTTAGATGATAATAGATTACATACATGACAAATATATGCTGAGAAATCTTGATAAGTTTCATGGTACTGAAAAGTTTGGCTCATTTTTATGGAAATGATAACCACTCTCATTTTTGTCAAAGAGTGTGTGATAAGCCTAGATTTATGTGCATTTATAAAATATGCTTGCTTTATATACTCAAATAACCTTATTAGGACTTTGGATAAACGAAGAATAATGAGATTTCTGCAAAACTGTATCAAGTGGAGGAAAAACGATAATGAAACCAACTTTTGGGAAGGTGAATGGAAATTTTCCTTTAGTTTTTTCTTTTAAAGTAGTCGGAAATTTAATAATATTTCAAATACTCTGAAGTCAATTTATTTCAAGAATATACCGAGAAGCCATTTGGGACTTTCATTGAGTCTTTTGGAATAACGGGTCGTGTAAAAAGTATAATTACTGATACTTTGGGGATCTTGCATTCTTCAGCCAACACCAGAGAGGTTCACGTGGTTTTTTGTTTCACATCTTACAATTTTGTTAATTATTCACGAAGTTAATTATAAGATTGTTATTCTTAACTTCATGATTAAATATGAGTCGCTGTTAAAAATCTATGAGTAGTTTTATCAAATATAATTGTATTCCGTTTTAAATCTTGAAAAACGATTGATTTTTACTTCATTTTTCATTTTTTTAATGAACAAATAGTTTTTCATATCCTAAAATGTGGCAAATCATTTATTATTGTTATGTAAATATTTTTCTCCGTATTATTGTCAACTCAAGGGTTTGGAAGATGTTTACTCAAGGGTTTGGAAGCAGTGTGTGAATTTATGGAATCCGTCGGACGTTATGCTGATTCACCATTTCTCTGGACTCTCTTTGGTAGTGGAGAGTTACCACAAGGTTTTGCTCGTCTGTGCGCTCTTTTCGGTGGAATTTATTGCTTGAATCGTTCAGTTGAAGGCTTCATTATCTCTAATAAAAGGTACGAAAATTTAAATAGTCACAGAGAAGGAGAATAATGCTGTGATTTAATAGTTTGCACACCACTGTTGTTTTCTAGAATAGAAGCGGTCCTAACAGAAGGACAGCGGATAAACTGTAAGCATGTTATCACAAACCGGACATATTTACCAGAGCAATATTTAAGTTCAATGTCACAAAAACGAATTAATAGAACTATTCTAATTTCCGATCAATCTATTTTACCGGATCCAGAGAAAGAACACGTAAGACATTACCTTTGTAATTCGATGTCTCGCTAAAGTTTTGGAAGGAAGCATATGCTCTATCGACTTCATATAATCTTACTGGCTTCGCATTATAGATCAGTTTATTGAATCTCGTCAGTTTCGAAAATGATGCATCTCCTTATTTGTTAGAAGTTGGATATGAAGGCTGTGCAGCACCAAAAGGAAAATGTTAGTTTTTTGATTTTTTGCAGTAGTTTTTCTGTCGATATTTATATCACCATCAGAATTTTGGTCGCAATGTCAATATTTAGTCAATGATATCACTTTAAGAGGCACTGAAACTTCGTGATTCATTTTCACAAACTTCGAAAATAATCAGATTATCATAATGCGAGAATCTGATTATTTTCGTAGTTTTAAAGAATTTGTAATTTAGTCAATTCTTTCATTCCAGTTCGATGTTAATTTTCATTTTATTGTAATATTAGTAGGTAAAACTTCCGAAATGCTGTATATTCATGGGTGTCTTTCGGCTTCTCACATGTATAATCCGTTAGTAATGTTATTTTCAGATATTACGCATATTACTGCTCGAAGCCAATGCGATTCTTATACTATTTTGAATCCCATCGTCGAGCGTTTGTTTGAAGTCGCAGGAAATGGTGATTATCACTCCTATTAACTTAAATCATGTTATTTATTTTCCCAACTTTTCAAGTATGCAGATTTCAGTGAATTCAAAATATAGGATTTAGAATAGACAGTTTTTTCTTTTGAAAAAGAAATCAGCACTGTTTTTACAGATCAGAAACCACAAATAATGTGGTCTCTTTATTTCGATGTGGCTGAACCGTTACTGATGTTGGAAGGCATACCAATTAATATGGGCATTGTTCCATGTGTCGATGAACATTTGAATTATGACCTTGTCGTTTGTGAAGTGAGATTATTCAAGGTTATATTACAAAAATAAAGTGAGGAGGAGTGAGTGACACTTTTTTAAACAGGTTTTTAGAAGTGTACAATTATCATGTATATAATTGGTCTTTCCTAGGCAAAGAAAATATTCAAAGAGTTTTGGCCAGACTATGATTTTTTACCTCCGTCGTTAAGCGGTGATGACGATGATGAACTAGAAAAGCAGATTGATATTGAAAATTTTGAAGAAAACGATTACTCATCCAGCTCAAGGATTTTCGAACAGACCTGACCGACTTTTAATGTATGTGATTGTATTTCAGTACAAAAATAACTTATGTAATGACTTATCCCCACTGTAATTATTGATATTTAGTCGACGTCTGAAAAAATCAAGAGTTTCACATTGTTGACGTGACCTTTTATTTTATCTTCCTTTTTCCATATTTCGCACAACCTCTCGAATTGTAATATGTTTTGCTAATATTCTGTTCACTTTTTTCTGAAGTGCGTTTGTTCATTTTATCATAAATTGGTAAGAAGAAACTTCTCACATCTACGAGATTAATAGTTGCATTTTTCAAGAATTGAAGGAGTATGAGAACATTGTGGACAAAAAATATTTTATTTGTAAACAATCAGTAAATCATTTCTGATTTTTTTCTAAAAATAAAATAATATATTTTTGGATTCCGAAAAATATCGTGTAATTGTCGCAAATATCAACATTATAAGTCAGCTAGTAGTAGAAGCATTGCACTCTCATAACCTGAAAATTGATGTTGACAGTTGTATGCAGGCAGTATCACAAGGAGATCAGTCTGCTTTTTCGCATTTTTATTTTGACGCTGGGTCGTGCATTGATACTCTGGATATCCATATTAATCTCTTGCTTTGTTTTGTTAAACTGGTTTTCAGTCTCTAATGCGATAACCTGTCCAGTGATGTTAATTCCTTTCTGGATCACTTCATATTCTTGACGGATAGGACATACAAGCGCACATAATCGTTGTTCTTACTGGCGTATGCCCCATGTATTTATTACCGACAATCTCACGAACGGTTGGGCTTCGCATATATGGGAATGCTCTTACACCATTCTTTTTATAGAGACTTGTGGAGATTTATTGCAGCACCTCATTATTCCTTCTTTCTAGAAAATGTAGTTTGTAAAAAAACAAATAGTGATAGACATTAGTTTGTGTTCTTTTTGTAATAAGTTTTTGTAATAACCATCACTGATAAAAAATCAGGGATGCAACAGAAAATTGCGTGCAGTTGTTATTTCTTATTTTGCCATCCTTGCAAATGGTTGCAAAGAACGCATATTTATTTAGTCATTGTGCATCCATGTTTTCACTCTTTTGTTTAGCAATGACAGTAGAGTGAGTGGTTGATAGTACTCGAAATTATACTTACCAAAATTAATGATTGTTTATATGAAGGCCAAAATCAGTGAAAAGTCAAAGATGTGTGCGGGCTGGCATTTCCTAATTTTTCGTGTTATTAAAGGACAAATATACACAAGTTTATTGAACTACGCATTGTCTTGGCTACTTAAGATTATATCAATTATAAATGTTTTGCTTCAGTTTCTGCATTCACGCACGGCTTTAAATGATTGAAAATACTCTCAACTGTGGTTGCTATCAGTAGAAGCTGCAGTGGTATAAAAATCTGAGAAAGATTGAGCATGTATCTACTACATAAAAGTGTATTTACTTGTGTTTTCATGCCTTTGTAAAAGATATACTAGGATTTCTATGTCAGTTATGCTTTTATTTACCAGACCGCAATTATTAGTAGTGTAAGAACTTAAACCAATATTTAACATTTGCCATTTTCAAATCAATTATTTCGGTTAATTTGGTCACTTCTGGTAATTTGTTGTCTTTATAGTTGTAGCTCATAGTACTTTTAATAATTCAGGTGACCTTTATGTTAGCGCTTGACTGGAAGATTTTAGGTAATTAAGATTTTAGATGGTATGCAAATCAAGTGGTTCTTGTTGCAGATATCATTTAATTTAGTTTTAGTGATTAAGCACTTTATTCAACAATTTTTTTTTCGAATCAATGATTCGGTTGACCGATTAAAATCAAAATTTTCATTGCACAATGTCCCAAAACGTAGAATATTCATCTACCGAATATCAGATTACCCGTGGCTAAGATAAGCAATTTATCTTTGTTTTATATGCAAATTACTAAACTTGAGTATAAAATGTTACCAAGTCTGAAAATTCATCTCAGTATAAGTTTGCGCTTAGGAACAGCACTTATGTCTCAACTTCTGCCAGACAACTGTACGCATCAGTCACATGCTTCTTCTTCAGAGAATAGTGAAGAGCAAACTGTTCACATAGTAAGCCTTGATCAGGTGCACTTTTGGTTTTATTTATAATTAAGCCAAATAAATTTATTCTATATGGATGAAAATAATTGGTTTCATGCATCATGCACTTAAAGATTAAGATTAATGTTACAGTTGAATTACTTGAGTTGCTTACTATTTTAGTTATCATTTTCACGCAATTAGCAGTAACTTACATTGCTGCACTGCTTAAACCAACTATGCCTTGCAAAAATTACGGAAAGAATTAGTTGTTGAAAATTTGGGAAAGACATGACGAAATAACACATACTAAAGCTCTAGCCATTATCATGATAAAAAATTGTTATCATTAAGTTAGGTGCTAGCTAGTGCTTTTTAGGCAAAAATATGAGTAACTTAAACAATGAACTGAAAGTTATTTCAAAATTAAATTCAATCCACTGACCTTCTCACTTAACTTTTTATACTTTTGAAGTAAACTGTTTAAGACGTATATTTGTTTCGATGTGGAGCAACTGAGAAATGCGAAGCAAGATTTGAAATTGAAACGGTGCGCAGGGGTACGTGATCCTATTGCATGGCGTATGCGGACAAATGCTCCTACACGATATATTGTGAATCCATCTAAAGGCGTTATCCATAATGATGATCCTGTTACGGTATTATAAGGAGTTTCATCTTAAAATCTTGTTGATTAATTAAAGGAATGATAATTTCTGGTGAAATGAATTTGATCAAGTGATAGTTCAAGCATATTTTAGAGAGAATATTAATTCAATAATTGGTGTAAGGAAATGTAGCAGATGAGCTTTGGTTTGTCTAGTTTGCACTAAAATGTATGCCCACTAAAGAAATTCATTAACAACGGAAAGAGCTTTTTTCTTTTGTGATGAATTGCAGCTGACAATTGAATTGGTGGAAAATAAATTCCATCCAAAACATAAACTGATGCTTCAAGCAACTTTACTAATTGATGGTTGCAATGAGCAGACAATTTGGAAACACGAAAATGCTAAAAACTGGGACAAAGTACAGACAATACAATTAACGTTAAGTACAATGCTGATCAATATTGAAACATCCAAATATGAGGTAGTCAGTTATTTTGTTATCATTAGTTGAGTTATCTCAGCAAATTTCCGCGCAGCTGTAAATCTTGTTCAAAAGCAAAATTCTGCTTCTAAGATGAACTTGGAGTTCAAGAACTGAACTCATCCTGACGTAATAAGATCTCCACAGCATGTGAAAAGTATTGGAGTATCAGCTAAAAAAGAACATCAACAATTAGCTAGCCACTAGAGAGCAAATATTCGATAACAAAAACGACTCAAAAAATAATCTGAAAACATTTGCTAAAGATGGAGCAAGAAGACAGATTCAAAATATCAAAGCTATTATTATAGAGAAGTTGACGCTGAAAATGAGTATTGCGAAAAGTATATTTGAGATTCTCAAGTATTTTAGAATGTTTTGATACAGCAAAGCTGAAATTAAATACTGTTAGCAAAAAATTTAAGGAAGAAAATTTGGCAGCGTCAGTAGAAAATTTTAAAATTTTGATGGAGAACAGTTCAACTACGGGACTAGAGCGTATTCAAGAATTGGAAAATTTATTGAATATGCTAAAATGTGATACCAGACAATTTCGAAAAAACACAGGACGGACTATTCATTTAAAGACACTCCTCGAGCAAGCTTTAGATACGCGGTAAATGAGACGCCATCTTGTGGTATTTGCAGTGACGCCTTAGGAAAAGTCAAGTAAAACTATACAACTGTGATTTTCTGCAGAACAAATAATGTGAAAATTTATCGTAGAATGGGAACTGATCGTGTCTTTAAGAGTAAGACAAATGGTAATGCTTATCAATTTTAGTCATCTAATTTACAGTAAAGGAAGCTTGGTGGAACTGAAGCGTCGAGTAATGGAATGTGAGCAGAAAACAAAGAAAATGAAAAAAGAACTCGAGGACAGAGAAGCTGAACTTCAGCTCGCGCGGAGATTGCAAGCAAATACTTTTAGTCATCCATCTTGTCAACTGTCATAAACGACATACTCGGCTGTATTGCTTTGAGTATTTCAGAATCAGTAAGAGTCCGAATAAATTCTTAAATAATTTTGCGGTGATAAATTATGCAGCCATTGAGCTGTGCTTGAATCAAGCTTCTCAATGAATGCATTATGAAGGATCAGGAACCCAAAGAATCACTTACAATTGAGAAAAAATCATAAAAAATTGAACAAGCACAAATATCTGCATAGAACACACTAGAGCAGAGTCAATCAACGTCATAGCTTCATTTTGGTGATTAATTATGGGATTCAAAAATATACTCTTTTTAGGCAAAATTTTGCCATTGGACAAAAAGTCGAATAACTTCTTACTTTTGGGGGTATAAGAAAATTGCGATAAAAGAGTACGCATCTTTGAGAGACTGCAGAGAAACAAAGAAATTCTTATAAATTTTCAAATTTCAAACTTATAATGTGTTTCAAGTTTTAAATTTCCTGTGAAAGTATTGCAAACTGAATATATTGCATATATATAACGTTATAATGTCGAAAAAAATGTGCTGGATATTATAATGATGAATTTTGTGTAGGTATAAGGAAATCAGAGTAAAAGAATAAAATAACAATGCTGGCAAGAACACGAATTAATTAACATTGTAAATATCAACAACAGAACGAGCGAGGAAAGAAGACTTAAAGAAGGAAAAAAATTGTAGATGATGACCAATGAGGCAAGCGCACAGATATAGGCAAAATCATACAGTCCAACATAAAGCTTGTAAGCATTGGAAATCGACACATATTTTACATTGTGATAGCTCAAGAAATAAACAATGTACACGTTATCGTAATTCATGCGACATTGAAAAATATTCTGCAGAAATTGTTCTTGAATAATTGTGAGAGACCTTAAAAGTATGCTAAGTTACACTTACTGAAAAGAATGCTAAATTACATTAAAGAAAAAAAATTAAAATTTTATGTTCCAATATAATAATTTCTCTATACTGGAAAATATAATTACGAGATATCTTTCGGTCATCTCAACTTCGTTTTTTCCTGCAGTTTACAGATACCAACCGCAACTTTGAAAACGAACTGTTCTGAAACGAATATTATTGAATAACTGCAGTGTGAAAATCTTATTGATCGCTTCTCATTTACGCCACTTTCATTCATAAGGTAATTCATTTGTTTGATTTCTTACCAGTAATCAATTTACGATTAATTATATCCTCTAAAATTTATCAAAAATTGTGAAACAGTACATTAAAATCCAATTTATTTAAAAATAGAAGATTTTCAGTGTATACATTCAACAATTAAAAAATATTATGGATAATTTGAATTTTAGAAATAGTTCACAATGGGATCAATTTTGTGCCGCAATTAATGGTTATGAAAATTGCGTGAATAAGATGCAATGCCATGTTGAACCAATCTCATCTGCTAATACTGCATTATTTAAAACAACCCTAAGTCTTCAGAATAAATGCACTTATATAACACTAAAAAAAATAAATTATGGTTTTATAGTTTCATATTTGTAAAGTACCTCTTCCATACTAATATTATATCGAATGCCTAAATTCTTTCGTATTTGTTTTGTTAAATATTCTGAAATCAAATTTTCATGGCAACTTCATATCGCATTATGTCATTAGAATGTCTTTTAAAAAGTCATCTCAAGCAAATTGCTCCTTACTTTGAAAAAGGTCTGAAGTTATAAAATTAATAATTTTTCAAGTGATAGCTTGCGTATTTGCTTCAAGAAATGCAATCTACTTTATTGAAATGATGCGGTAGTGTAATTTTCGTAGTAGTTCGAGTAGTTCTAATATTAGCACATCGTATATTACTTTTTACAATCTGACAAAACACAAAAAATAACTCTTTATTAATGTTAGAAAATGGAAAACTGGAGATTTGTTAAAAATAGTATAAACAACCTTCCCGAGCTTCTTTGGTTTCATACCTTTGTAAAGCAATAAAATTTGTTACAAAAATAGAAAAGTGAAAATAACGTGGTCATAAAAATACAGCAAATGTTAAAAAAAATTAAATAGAATCATAAATAATTTAAATGTTTAACTGATGAATTAAAAACTAGCTAGTATGCAAAAATTTTTGCGTTAACTGATTAAACTGCTCAAAACTTTTCAAATGCAACTTTTTTTTTTTGAAAAATAAGGTCATTTATGAAATTAACTAATGCCAAGTATAATCTAGATCTTATTTCTTTTTCACTTTGAAAAAATAATGTACAGTTGAATAGATTATCTAAAGCATAGTCAAAACATTTTGTTTGCTGACTCTGCTTGTTTTTAGATTTGTACTATTTAAAGAACGATAACTATTTCACCAGTAATGAAAGACATAATAATATTTCCTTTTTTTTGGTAGAATCATCAGTTTAAAGATCGTATCAAAAATATAATTAGCAGATGAAAAACGTCTCTGCATTTTCAGTAGCTAAAGAATTGCAAATTTTCTATTTAATCAGTTTAAATCCTTTCGATAATTATTTTTCAGCTGTTCACTGATTATTATTTCGATCGCTTGCTTGGTTGCTTTATAACAAATGTTTATTTATGTAGATTTAGAATTAGCTGATTCCAAATAATAGAAAAAATGTTAGAATTTGTTCTCAGAATGCACTACTACCGAGGGTAAAATAATTTATCTTTTATGAAATACATAAGAATGTCTAATGGATTTTTGGAATCATTTATAACACCTTTTGACCTCTAGCAAATATGTAGCGAAAGCGCATGTCTGAATAGGAGGCCACTGTGATGATTTCTCTCCCTAAGATAGCCATAAATCACATTTTATCCCAAGCAGAGCACCAATTCGTTGCCAGTCAATCAGTTACATTGCAAAGAGTAGAAAGATCCGTTTCTAGCATCATAAATCGTCAAGAATCCTTTTCTAACTCGCAGAATTATAAACGACTTAATGTAATTTTTGTTGGATAACAAAAATTTACAGTTCAATCTATTTGACATTTATAATTTTGAGTAAAAAATTCCAAAAATCATTTGACAGCCTTTTTGGCATTGCAAAATTTGTATTGCTCTCGCTTATATCGAATGAGATCACTTGAAAATATCATCCATCACTACAAAAGTTTGGACTACTTAAAATTCGTTTTGCAAAAAATTTAATTGTTTTCATTCCTTGTAAGCAATAATGAATTCTAATTGTCGTTTCCACTCTTTTTCTTTACTTTTTCGAAAAAAGTTAGATAATCTATCTTTCACAAAATATAACATTTATTAAAATTTTGTTATATTTAATTTAGCTTATTACTTTCATAATATATTTGTTGGGCAGAAAGGAACAATCTTAAAAAATTACCCTTTGAGTTTAAAAATTTTGTTTATGACTGTGCATGCAAGCAGTAATTTTAGTAGTAGTACTTTGACTAAATGATATAATATATATATATATGCACAGTTACTGCTATATATATATATATAAGTTAATGTCAAGTTATATATATATATAACTTGACATTAACTTGACATTAGTATTAAAAAAATACTTTATGAATATAAAAAATTCAAATTCTGATTTACTTTTTAAAATGTTGTATTCTGAAATCGTAGTTCCCAAAACTTTATATAAATGATCCTGATTAATCTCCTTGTTATATTGTCCAACATTTTGTGACTTGAATTAATATTAGTTTAGAAAGAATACAAATATTAAAAATTAAAATTCTGATTTATTTTTTAAAATGTTATATTAATGCATCAATTCTGAAGATTTAGTGCAAAAAAAAACAAATAGAAGTGAATCATACATATTTTCTTATATTTTCCATAACATTTTTTTAGTAATATAACTTTATATGTTATCAGTTAATGTAAGATACTTCCCAAATACTTCAGTTTAAATTTTAGATTTATTTTCTCCAATGTTAGAAATATACAAATATGTGAAAACTTGATGCTCAAGACCTTAATATCCAGTATAAATATTTTTATTATATTTATTAACACATTCTTTCATTGTCATAACTTAATATACTGTAAGTGTAGGTAAGGTAATTCACAATTATTTAAATGATAAATTGAAAAACTGAGCGATTGTTCAATTTATTGGCACAAAAATGTAAAATATGTTCTTGACGGCCGATTTATGTGGAAAAAAGGTCGTCATTGGAATATGTAAGTCCTTTCAAATTTATTACTCACTTTCCTCGATTCCATAATACTGATTACATTGCTAACTGATGACAGGTTGGCTCTTCATTTGACTGTTACAAAAATTTGAATTTTTAAACGAGGATATTTGGAAAGAAGTTTTTGATTGGAATTTGCCAATTTGCCACATACTGTAAAATGCATGACTGAAATACAAATCTCAACATCCGATGCAATTAGTATTCTCTTTGTTGTCACTCGGCTGTAAAAACTCCTACTCCAATTTTTCACAGTGACTGGTGTAGATTCTGTGATAATTCGTTACGAGAATCTGATGGAAAGATAATTGTGTTTGTAAAAGGTTTGCACTGAATGTGAACATCACCAAAATATTAATACTTCGTTGCTCTGTAGACTGCAAACGGCATTCTCAGGCAGCAGTATCAGAAGACGTAAGTCTCTGATGATGCGCACACTTCCCCTAACATCTAATCCTTCTGCCCTAGTGCACCTTTGCAAATCGTGCAGTCCATAGATGCACTTTTGAGCACCTTTCTGATTACTTCGGTACTGAGAGACAGAGACGGAGAGGAAAGGACGTGCAAGGAGTGCATGACGTCATCGTCACTCAGTTCTTGCGAGGCCCAATGTATTTATTACTCTATTGACTTCTGCTTGAGCAAATCGGCTTGTCCTGTGCAACCTCTCTTACTTTGCTCATCTGCTCCTGCAAGTCAGTGTGTTTGTAGTCGAGTTTCTTGTTGAGTGATGCTATGGGGTTCCCCTCAGCTCTTACGATAGAGCTGAATTTCGGCATACCCATCCTTTATTGACTAATTACTGTTTCTTCCAGCTGTTTTTTAAGGAAGTAAATGCATTCTTT